CCCCGCCCCGCCCCACCCCTACCGCCTGGCCTTCCCTCCTGCGCAGGATCACCTTTCCGGAAGGATTCTCATTCCTGCAGTGCAAAGAATGTAGAGAGGGGTCTCTTTGTGTTTTGCCCGTGGCACATGCTCTGCAGCAAAGTTCAAGAGCGGAGAAATGTAATCACTGACTTTCTCTGGAGAGGTAGCAAATTCTGAAATGCCTACAGGAAAAAACACCTCTGTTAACAGCAGATATTTTAGTTAATAAGTTATACTTCTTCAATGTGGCTAATTTGAGAGAAATTCAGTCTATACACCATACTCTCCTACTTTTTTCCTATCCTCTGGCAACACCTTTCACAGTCTCTATTCTCACTCATCCAAAAAAAAATCACAGACCTAATTGAGCATCTATTATGCACCAGACACTTGGAGTTGATTACACGAGCTCGTCCCGGCCCTTGGGAAACACGCTCCCACTTTCCTCACTCCCATGGTTATCATCACCAGCAGATTTATCAGATCTCTTCCCCAATCTGCAGATCAGTATGTGGTAACTGCCCATTGAACAAGGCAATATGCTTGTCCTCACTGCCCCATCATAACTCAACATATATAAATGTGAACTCAACATCCACTATAAACCTGCTCTTACTGCCTGTTACCCACCTCAGCGACCACTATCACTAGCTATCCAGTGGCCCAGCTAGTATCCCGAATAAAATCCCTCACCCTCACCCCAACATGTGTTCTGGGTTTCATCGATTGCTTCTCCTTGGTTCCTCTCACATTTTTTCACTTCTCTTCATCTCTTCTAAATACCCCCCGCCTACACATCCTACTGTCCAGCCTTGAAATTCACCCACCATTCCCTCTGCAAAAAGTAACTTTTCCTGGCTTAAAATCCTTTGGGGTTCCTCAGTGCCCTCCAGATGAAGCTCAACTGTGGAATGGTATAACCTGCCCTGCATACTCACCCATCCTGTCTCTTCCCACATTCCTTCCGTTTGGCTTCAACTATACTGAGTAAAGTTTCTACACCATACTCTGGCTTTATGGCCCCTGTACCCCACCAGTAGTAGCTGTCCCTTTAATTTCCTCGTACCCACTTCCCCCCTCTTTTTGTCTGGCTAACTCCTCATTCCCTGAGCTGCTTCCTCTACAGAAGTCTTCCCAGCAGAACCTGGAGATGGGCACTCTCTACATTCTATGCTTACCCCAACCTCTAGTCGTAGCATTCATTACCTTAGCAAAATTACCTGTTTACTTCCTGTATGTCTCATTCAACAGGAAGTTTCTCAAGGACACAAACTGTCTTGTTCAAATTTGTAGTCTCAGCATTAACACAGTGCCTAGCAAATAGTAGGTGCTCAGGAAACATTTGCTGAATGAGTACATAAGTAAATGAATATTTCTAATTGCCACTGAGCCTACAATATTAAAGATGAGGGGAATTTTAGAAATCCAAAATTTCCTTATTTCACAGACTAGCAAATTGTGGACCCAGAAAGATTAATTTGTCAAAGCAATCAGCAAAAACCAGACTAAAAGCCCGTGTTTTTGACTCCACGTACAATACTATTTCAATGGACATCAAGCCCCAAACTACCCAGAATCTATTAAGGAAATTTCTAGAGGGTTGCTGTAATGCTATACACGAGAGACCATGCTTCAGGACAGAGAAGAGCCATAGAAAGGTTCCTGATTGTCCACTTCAAGCACTTCTTGCAGCATCAGAGAGAACCAGTTAAGCCTCGTTTTAATGAGATTCTGGCGCCTGTCCTGGGATGCTGTCATAGCTGTCCCTCTCTCAAAGGGACACTGTAAGGTGTGAAAGTTTTTGTCTCATTCCACCAGAGCAGTTTAACCACAGATGGGACCTAGCATGCAGAGCTAGTGGAAATGCAAAGTGCTTTAGAGAGTTTGTTTTTGAAATCCTAGTGAATTTTTTATTTGAGCAGTATTACGTTAACCCTGAAAACGTTTCTAGATCAGGGATATGTAAAAATGTCAGGAGTGGGAAAATAGAAAAGTAAAATTAAAAAGTCATCCACTAAGACTTAAAGAAAAAATGCTTTGTTAATGAAAATGTACTCTGATATCAAAATAATGCTGTACAAGAGACTCAGATTAAGTTCCCTCTCTTTATCCTGAAAAATGAAGTAGAGATTTTGAATTTTCTGAGCACTATGCTGGTGTCCAGCTGCCCAAACATCAGGGAACAACAGCCTGCTGGGGCTGCCTGCAGGAGGAAGCGCGGTCTGCATTAGTCAGTGAAGAATGAGGAAGGCTCAAGGGGTCCGCAGTCTATGGGTTAGGGACAGCTTTATGAGGACAAGTATCCTAGTACACTGACACGGAAGCTCCCTCCCCGGCCAGGCAGCTCTGTTGGTTAGAGCGTCATCCCGATACACCAAGGCTACAGGTTCCATCCCTGATCAAGGCACATATAAGCAGCAACCAATGCATGCATAAGTAAGTGGAACAACAAACCGATGGCTCTCTCTCTCTCAAATCAATAAAAAGGTTAAAAAACAAAACAAAACTGGAGCTCCTCTTCACTTGTTCTTTAAACAGGAGATAAGTTATGATCATTATTTTTATCAACATTCTCTAATATTTAAAAAAATTAATTCCTTGGATTGTCTGCATTTAATATTTTACTATCTAACACATTTGGCAAGATGAAATTAAAGTACTGAATCTCTAAGATCTATTGTTTAATGTTTTAAATCAGTGATTATCAACTGTCAAGACATAAAAGGCTATTTTGAGGTACTCCTGACACCTTCTATTCCTAATGCTATTGAAGAAGGGCACTGTCCATGGAAATGATGTGGATACAGAAAAAGGTTGAAAATTACTGATTTAAATTCTCTAACGGGGAAAGCACATTCTAATGTTTCTATAACACACTGACTTAGAAATTACATATCTTTAAAAACTGGACATAGCCATGGCCAGTGTGGCTAAGTGGTGAGAGTGTCAACCTAAGAACTGAAGGGTGGAGAGTTCAATTCTCAGTCAAGGGCATGTACCTGGGTAGCAGGTTCGATTCCCAGCTTCAGTAGGGGAGGGTGTGGGAGGCAACCAATCGATGTGTCTCTCACATAGATGTTTCTCTCTCTCTCTCTCTCTTTCTCTCTCCCCCCCTCCCTCCCTCCTATCCCCCCTTTCACTCTCTGAAAAAGCAATGGAAAAAATATCCTCAGGTGAGGATTAACAAAAAAATAAAACAGAGATCAATTAGGTCCTGCTATGAGAGAAAAGAAAAAAATGTGAAACATTACAGAGTATGAAAGGACAGAACGCGGTTATCAGTTAGGTATTTATCATTTACATACCTGGTTTTATTTTCATAACCACCGGCTTTCGGTTTTTATCCCTCATTTGTCTGATATCCAACAGATCATGAGGATTGCCATTATGTCTGGGCCAGCAATAGACAAATATTCGAGAGCCACTGCTGCCACAGTCCACCACGATCCCATAGTTCACATTAGGGTTATTGGTGTCTGTAGCTTCAATGTCAGTAACTCGTGCCAAGTACCTTGTTTAGAAAAACAAACATATACTTTTGAGACAGAGAAGATCATCCTAAGCCTAAAAGAGTAAATGCAATAAACACCAAGTCAGTGATTTCTAAGTGCAGTTGCACCAATATAACATTTTTACAACTGCCAAAATAATCAGTCAAAAGAAAACAAAACAAGTGACAGTAATAAAGATAATCTAAATCAGATACACACCCATCATTCCTTTAGAAAAGTTCAAACAAGTTCTGAAAAGCAAAACGACTTCCAAACTATCAACATTAACTAAAAATCAGCTTAAAAGATATCACAGGAGAAGCTTATGTTAAATCCTCTTATGATGTGGATCTGCTGGTTAATGACTAAACAGTTTCAGACAGTTTAATTTTTCATGCCATGCTGTACTAAGCATCTGTTTCCCACAGCCACAGGCTCCTAACATTCCACCTAATCCCAAAGTCCTGAAGCCATGAAATGAAGGTGTGGCATCCCATCTAGAAGATAAATGTTTTTTCTCTTACCTTTGAAACTTTTTGTCTCTGGATAGTCGCCCATATTTATTTCGGATTATGACAACAGAGAAGTATAAAAGTGAAACAGCAGCAGCCAGAATACTAATAACAATAATTTGGCGTAAGTTGGTATTCAAAATTCGAGGACATCCCATTGGAGAAATGCTAAAATGCCAGGAAGCAGGAAAAAGACAGGAGATGCCAATTCTGAAATTCCAAAAAACAGATTTTAAAGCAATCTGCTCCAAAGAGGCCTCCCTTCATCTAAACTGCTCCAAAGCAAGACGTTCAGTTTGAGGTGCCCCTACTTCCCTGCTAGGAGGTACCTGTATACCAGCATCTTCCATATTGCTACTTAGCTACATAACTCATTACAGTCATGCGCTGCGTAACGATGTTTCAGTCAACGATGGACTGCAGTTATGACAGTAGTCCCATAAGATACTGAAGCTGAAAGATTCCAATCACCTAGTGACATCATATTGCAACAACACATTCCTCATATGTTTGTGGTGATACTGGTGTAAACAGACCTACTGTGCTGCCAGTCATATAAAAGTGAAGCACATACAATTATGTACAGGACATAATACTTAATAATGATAATAAATAAATATGATAATAAATGTTACTGGTTTATGTATTTACTATACTACTTTTATCCTAACTTTAGAGTGTACTCTTTCTACTTATTAAAAAAGTTTGCTGTAAAACAGTATCCCACGTTATGCGGACAGCAGTTTATTGCATTTCTTGATGACATCATTTTTTCTTGTGCATGATTTAATCTTGTGTTGTTTTGTACAGTAACATGCTGTGCAGGCTTGTAGTCTAGGAGCAAAAGGCTATAGTTTATAACCTAAGTACACAGCAGGCTCTGCCATCTAGGTTTGTGTAAGCGCACTCTGCACAATGAAGAAATTGCCTAAAGATGCATTTCTTACAGAGTATCCTTGTAATTAAGTGGCACATGACTGTATTATAAAATTATATGAATGAAAATTAAGCCCTGATGGTTATGACACTTCTGCATTTTCCTCCTTTCTTGAGGGAATTATGCAGATTATATATTTATATCCTGCTTTGTTCCAAAAAATTAGAGATGGCTTGGAAGAGTAAGTTCATTAGCATAAACATATAAATCTATAATAAAATCAGATTTAAGGGTGAAGAAGCCAAAAGACAATTTAGTACATAGGAATGCAAGTACTAAGATAGGCCTTGAAAGGTGGACGAGCATTCTCGTGGCCAATAACATTACCCATTAGATTAGAAACATATAAATATCTTAAAAGGAGTAAGATTTTCTTAACACTGAATTCCAAGGCAAATGTCTCCCTGATGATTAAGAAAATAGTATCTTTAACAATATCCCCATAACAAAGTCAGTAAATGAGTTACGTATGTACTGTGTTTTTGGAAATATTCCTGAAACGTTTTTGCAAATACAACTTTTTGTCTCAGTTTATTTCAGGAATGTGAGACTTCATTAGGCTTAAAAAAAACAAAGTCTCACTTTAGGATAAATTTTACTGTTTTACAGTTAATTTCTATACTCTTCCCTTTAAAGAGTGCTTCATGGACTCACAGAAGGGGGAGGTATCCTACTAACCCAATAGAAATTTCCATTTGTAGTTTCCTGTCTCCATGTGGGTTCTTGGCCCAGACCATGGAATTATTATCCCCTCCCCACACCTCCAAGGCTTAGAGACAGTTATCCTGTGCTTAATGCAACCCCTTGCAGACTCCAACACACATGCCCTTTATGATAAACTAAATTCACTCCTGCAGAATCCACCTGGCATTATCACCTTCTTTTTGTGACAGGTGCCCAATGGGGCCCTGAAAGAACAAAGGTATAAAATAGAAGTGTAGCACAACTTTGAAGACTTTTTACTTGGGATTTAGATTTTTTTCTCCCCCTCTCAAAACCTGTTTCTATGGCACCAAAATCTCAGGTTTCCACTGCAGTGATTAGGCACCATCACTCACCTCCCCATACTGACGGGTCATAGGTCAGGCAATGTTCTGGGGTCAGTCCTCAACCACCATTACAGAAACAATGAGATCCTCCTGGAGTCAGAAGCTTCCTGTTACTGGAAGTAAGAAAAATCACAAAATTGGCACAATCCAAGAAACGTCTATGTTCTTTATCAACTGTGTGTTTAAATCCCACCACACACAATCTGGTACATGATCCTTGCACTGCAGCTGTTAAGAAGGGTTTATTTTGAGCATGTAGCTTCTGCATTAGCACCGATCTAGTCCCTATCTCTCTAGTCGTATCTCCTGACAAGAGAGGTATGTACCTTATGCTCCGGCCATCTTAAACACAAGCTGCAAGTCACTGAAATGTCCTGCATTCCTCTGCATTTATAGAATGACTTTTTTTGTCCGTCACTGACGTTCCTATGTAATCCTCATGACACAAATCAAACATGATTCCTCTGTGAGGACTTCCCTAATCCTCGTATCTCCAGAGTACTTGCTCATCACAGTAGTGGGCTGCAGTATTACACTGGTGGCTGGCTGACTTTCTCATCACATGGCAAGACCCTCATTGGCTGGGAGAGTCACTTATTCTTCTGTTTCTCCAGTGACAGTGCCTATCACACAAGTGATGAACAACCACTGTTTGTTTCACGGATGGCTGGGAATGGGAGATACAAAAATGAATCAGACATGGATCCAGCCCTTAGATTTATAATGCAGTAGAGGGGAAAACACACACACACACATACACACACACACACACACAGTATTAGTAAGGCCTACCTGACAAAGGGGACAAATCACTAATTAGTTCAGGTTTTAATATAGTGTCTACATTATACCATAGACCCAAAACTTACGACAAACAATACTTGTGATTTACAAGTTTACACAAAAAGGGAAAATCTGTCAGTTACCTAGGTATTTAAACGAATTTTAACGTTTTCATAAAGTAACTACCTTTTAGCATTTGACTACAGTGAGATTACTTCATTATAACTTTATTAGAACTCCAATGGCTCAAAGATTTAAATATTTAAAATATCCATTAAAATGCAAGATGAAAACGTAGGCAATTATTTACACAATCTTGGAATGGGTAAGGGTTTTCTATAATGATATTAGTTTGCCAAAACCATAAATGAAAGAAAATACATCTACACATGAGTCTAAAACTTCTGAATGTTTAAAAATAAAAATCCTTTCCCAAATACACATAGCTTGGGAAAATTACTTGTAACATACATGACAAAAGGTAAATATCCCTTACATATAAAAAGTTCACAAAATAAATACATAAGAGAAACATTGGAACAAATGAGCAAGGATAATTGTAAATTAATATAATAAGCAGGTAGACCTTCTTGATCTATCCAGAAGAGGATAGTTATTTGTAAAAATAACTTCATTACTACTTAGCGAAATAAAAATTATTAAAAATAAGACTTTACCACTATCAGACTGGCAGAAATGAAAGTCTGAGGATACTTTGCTAACAAAGGGGAGGAGAAAAGGTCATGAATACTGCTGGGGAGAATCTAAATAGGTACTAATCTTCTGGGGGCATATTGATAACAGGTATTACAATTTTTAATATGCTTACCTTCTGTACAACCTATCACATAACCTATCACACTTCCAGAAACTCATCCTTAGAAAATAACAGGGTAAAACTAAAATATGTATCAAGATGTTCATCATAGTACTGTGTATAACAGCAAAACATTGCTTCTAAATTAATGTGTATTATAGAGCCTGGATTAAATTAAACATGGTCCATTTATGCAACAGAATACAATGTGACTATTAAAGGTGGTCATGTAGATTTATATTTATTGACATGGAAAAGATGTCCATGATATATTAAGTGAAAAAAATTTCCCCATGCATAAGAGGGGGCAAAATGGAAGGAGAGAAACCAAAATGTTAATAGTGGTTAGTATTTTTGACTAGTGAGATAAATCTTTATTTTCTTCCCTAGTCTTACCTATATTTCTTAAAAGGCATATGCTAATTTTATCATCAGAAGAAACGAACTATTTTCAACAAGCTATCTTTGACTGATATCTTCAGTTTCCAGCATCAAATCCTCTTCTGGATAGATCAAGAAAGCCTAGCTTACAAACTCTTCATGACATAGGAATTCCGATCTGAATATTTTTTTGTGATAGTTGAACTAAAAAAAAAGAATGCTTTAGTTAACAGCCTAAAGTCAAGGTCCTTTGGGGAAGGAAGGCCTTTAATGATTCAGTGATGATAAGCACTACAAAGTGATATGAAGGGCACTGAGGAGTAACAAACCTAACTCTAGATGTCAAGATGTTTGCAGACTGGTTACAGAGAAAACACTAATACCCAGGAAATAATCAAGAGTATAACAGAAGGTAAAGTTAAATTATTTGGACTAACAGAGTTCAGAGAAGAGCACAAGGAACACTGGTAAATAAGAACAGCTTCCTGAAGGTTAGAGGCCAACTTTGGATGGGGGAGAACAGATAATACATTTCAAAAGATAAGATGCAGTGTTGGAATGATCACAGCAAACTTAGCAAACGTTATTTAATCTGGTGTTTGTCTTAGGACTTTTTTTTTGAGATGTGAGCATTTCGGCAAAAAGGATAGATACTTCTGTAAATTACAAAACTTGTATTTAAAGACAGAGAGAAAATAGAACAGCTTATAAGTTGCTGAAGTAATTACTTTTATGTAGGACAAAAGTATGGCTGAATACTACCCAGCAGTCAATGATATGGTAATTTGATCTTAAAATGTAAACTCCTATTGTATTTGCAGCTAAGAATCTTGGCACCAAAGTTTAGGGAGGCAAAGTCTTACTAACATTACATAAAAATCCCACGTTTTCAAAAGGCCTAAATTATGTTAGGCCTATTATCAGAGAGATGCACTAACTGCAGTATGATTTCAGCTAGTGCAGCCCTCCTTAGCCGAATACTCTTTAGTAGAGTAAAGCCCATCTTTCTCACTGAAGAAAACAATATAAATCAACTGTAAAGTGAAATGGTTCCTGTGGTAAAAAATGAATGATGCAATAAAACGGATATTGGCAAATTCTCAAATCATATGCAAACAAAAATCATAGACAAATGAGACTCTGGAAGAGCTAGACCTCTGAGTAAGAAAAGGTAAGATGACAGGAAGGGTGCTTTAAAAAGGAATGATATGAATATTGAAGGTTACAAGGGGACCTTGAAAAATCAAAAGGGCCCACAAACACTTAGGTGGGATTTTGTAAGAAATAACTGTCTTTCTGAGAGTGACAGGCGAAGGTAAAGTGGCACTCTGTGGCACTCGGTTATAGGAAAAATACATGAAAACAACTTGATTCATTGTTTTAAGAAGAAAGCACATAGTTGCATTATGATCTACATTTTCTTTAATATTTATTTTTAAATTTAAAATTTTATTTTACAACATCAAGTCCAAATGAAACCTCTTCCTCTCACTATTCATTTGCAAAATTCAGGTCTCCATTTTAAGAGATCTTTTTCTGGTTACACTTTTTCTGAATCACCTCTGCAGTTTCCCAAATCTGCAACTCTGATTTTCCTCAAGTTCCAATTCCATATCCTGAGCTTACTGATGCCTGTTACCGCAAACTCATTTAGTCTAAGCCTGCAGTGATAACCTTTTGGCACAAACTAATATCACCTTCCAAGTTCTCTAGGTCTAAGAGGGGCATCACCATTGACTGGAGTCACCTGGTTATTAACTTTGATTCCCACTTATCTGTGTGCTATCAATTCCTCAAAAAAAATCCACACATCAAAAATGACCACAGCTTTGTTTGGAATCTAAAGAACAAAATGAACTGATGAACAAAATAGACCCAGTGACACAGAAGCATGGAACAGACTGAGGAAACGCAAGGGAAGGCACCGGTGGCTGGGTGGGGAGAGATTAACTAAAGAACTTATAAGCATGTATGCATAATCCATGGACACACACAATAGTGTGGTGAAGACTGGGGGTGGGGGGTAGAAGGGGTGAATGGAGAAAAAAAGACGACATCTGTAATACTTTCAACAATAAAGATAAACTAAACAAAAAATGACCACAGAACACATTACAAGACAGATCTCTAGGCAGGTCACCCATCTTCTGCTTTCACTGTGAACACCACCCTTCCAAAACAACTCTTTGTAAAACACTACTTTCAAAATATGACCAGCTCAAGAACCTTCTGGAGCCTATGGGGTCAACACCGACTTTTCCTCAACTGATCCCATCTCATTTCACCAATCTGTTCTCTTCTCGGCCCCAGGTAACACCTTTCTGCTCTAGTGAAGTGGGTCTCTTCCCTCCCACACAAGCTGTTCTCATTCTAGCCCTGGGCCTTTCTTTACTAATGTCACTTCCTCCTAATATGTCCTGCTCTCAACATTATACTTCCTTCAAGGCACAGGTCAGTATTTTTCTTTGCAAATATTTAAACTGTTATGCTTTCTAATGTTTTCCCACATTCTAAATCTTTGTTCATTTTTTAAAACATGCTGAATATGTAGGAAATAAACATTAATATAAATAAATATATAAATCCTCAGATGCACTTTCTTTGTCTCTTCTTTCTAGATTGTATACAAGGGTTGAGATCATGCATTTCTACTAGGGCTAGAAGAATGTAAACCACAAATTCAGTAAGCAACAGATACAAGTGATAAATCAGTGTTAAGGTAAACACAGAAATAAACTTCTTATACGAACTACTATTTCATTCTATAATTCTGCTCATGCGCCAAACAATGAACAAACCTGATACAAAGACAAGATAATGTCAAATATAAGATAACACAGAATATGATTCTTTTAAGTCTCTTCAAAGCTGGAAAATTAAGTATTATCATTACACAAGGCAGGACAGGCAAAACTGCAAAGTGAAATTAAACTAGGGATTTGAGCCGCTAATGTAGAATTCTGTAATAACCTCTAGTTTGTCTTTTAGCACGGAAGCTGCTGAATTGTAAAGCATCTCTTTGCTTTCCTAAGAGTGAAAAATGCTCTGCACCAGTGTTCATACAACTGGGTTCTGGGACATCACAGTCTCTAGGGTAAGAGAACTGTTCCTTTAAAAGGTGTCTGTGCATTACTCAAGCCTAAGGAACACTGCTCTCACCAAGACTTCATTGCCCAATCGGTTCCATTTTTTTCAAGGATGAAATTTAGCAGAAGCAAAGCAAAGCAGAAACGATGCTGCACGTGTAAACATTAGGATAAGGCGCCAGGCGAGAACCCCCGGTCCTCGGCGCGGCAGCCCTTCTCCTCGGCCAGCTCCCTCCCCAGTGCGGGCCAGGTCCGCCCACACTACGTGTAAAAGGGAAAAGACAGCGCGGTCACCCGAGCCGGCGCGACAGCACGACCGCCAGGCTTCCCCTCCCAGGGCTGGGGGAGAGCACCTGCCGCCCAGAGTCACGGGCGCTGACGGCCCGGGCGCCCGGACGGGGCCGCGGG